TATATATATATATATATATATATATATGTGTGTGTGTCTGTGATTTGAAGCAGAATAATTCATCCTGTCTGTGCAGAAAATAACAACAAACGAAATATTACATAAATAGTAAATTAAGTAAATAAAGACTAGTATTTGGTTGACATTGCATGGACTGTGTTGAAGCTGCAATAGAAGCATCACTCTTTCAGAGTCACATGTCTCATTATATCAGTGTTGATCATGGTTTGTTTGTGCACTGAGATGGTCATGCTCAGCTGGTTTAGCTGGTGTCTTTTTTAGCTGAAGCTCATGCCGTGTCGTCAGTGTTGATTTTGCTCTTGTGTTTCAGGTTGCAGCCACTCTCAATAATCTGGCAGTGCTGTACGGGAAGAGAGGCAAGTATAAGGAGGCCGAGCCGCTGTGTAAACGAGCTCTGGAGATCCGAGAGAAGGTCAGTGCTCACCATAAACACTGAGATCTCTGCCGTGTGAAATGAGTGATTACTCGCTCGTCTCCTCCTGACGAGTTTTGATGGAGCAGCAGAATGTGATTAAACACTGATAGCAGCTGTTTCCTCTGATTACACCACAACGACAGAGCCTATTTATTTATTTAAATTCTTACATTTAAATTAATGTCCAAATTAATACCACACTATAGAAATTCTGTCTTAAATTAGTCTTGTCTCTATCTTAAGACTGTGTGTGTGTATCTGTCAGGTGCTGGGGAAGGATCATCCTGACGTGGCGAAGCAGCTGAATAACCTGGCGCTGTTGTGTCAGAATCAGGGCAAGTATGAGGAGGTGGAGTATTATTACTGCAGAGCGCTGGAGATCTACGAGTGTCGGCTCGGCCCAGACGACCCCAACGTGGCCAAAACCAAGAACAACCTGGTGAGTCTGAGAACGCCGCTTCTGCTGGGAAACTAACTGAAGTCAGTTTAAACACATACTTGATAAGCCGTGGCATTTGCATTTCGGCCTCATCATGCAAATGTGAGCAGAGCTCCAGCAGAATTCAGTTAGAGCGTGCAGCTGAACTCACGCTCATCTCTTACACACACACACACACACACTCATTCACACACACTCACTCACACTCACTCACCCACACACACACTCACACACACACACACACACACACACACACTCACTCACACTCACTCACACACACACTCACACACACACACACACACACTCACTCACACTCACTCACACACACACTCACACACACACACACACACACTCACTCACACTCACTCACACACACACTCACACACACACACACACACACTCACTCACACTCACTCACACACACACTCACACACACACACACACACACTCACTCACACTCACTCACACACACACTCACACACACACACACACACACTCACTCACACTCACTCACACACACACTCACACACACACACACACACACTCACTCACACTCACTCACACACACACTCACACACACACACACACACACTCACTCACACTCACTCACACACACACTCACACACACACACACACACACTCACTCACACTCACTCACACACACACTCACACACACACACACACACACTCACTCACACTCACTCACACACACACTCACACACACACACACACACACTCACTCACACTCACTCACACACACACTCACACACACACACACACACACTCACTCACACTCACTCACACACACACTCACACACACACACACACACACTCACTCACACTCACTCACACACACACTCACACACACACACACACACACTCACTCACACTCACTCACACACACACTCACACACACACACACACACACTCACTCACTCACTCACTCACACTTACACACACACAGACTCCATCACTCCATCAGTCTCTGTTGAACGATTTCAAAATGATCTTCATCAGCAGTGAATGCTCTCGTCTCTCCGCAGGCGTCCTGCTTTCTCAAACAAGGCAAATACAAAGAAGCCGAGGTTCTGTACAAAGAGATTCTGACCCGTGCTCACGAGAAGGAGTTCGGATCGGTGGATGGTGAGTGTTAGAGACACGTTCACACTGATGCTGCTGTCGGTTTGACAGAAAAAACGCACAGCGGGAAAATGACTATGATTACATGCATGTCAATATATCAATATTAATCATTCTTGTGGTTATGAATCAGACTTTATTAAATGAGTGTTACAGACTGAATGTGTGTTCAAAAGTCCAGTCTAATACAGCATTCAGTGGCTTTCATCAGAGAGCATCATGGGTAATGATGTCACCCGTATGTCTGTTTCCAGCCGAAAACAAGCCCATCTGGATGCACGCGGAGGAGAGAGAGGAGATGAGCAAGGTGTGTGTGTGAGAGCATGATGAGTGTGTGTGTGTGTGTGTGTGTGTGCTGATCTGCTGTGTCTCACTCTGTGTGTATCTGCTGATGTTCAGGGGAAGCACAGAGACAACACACCATACGGGGAATACGGAGGCTGGTACAAAGCCTGTAAAGTCAACAGGTAACACACACACACATCATATTACACCATGAGTGTACTTGATTTGAGTGCATTTCTATCTTTTGTTGACTGTAGGCCTGTCTTTAAATAACTCTCTGATTGCGGGTATTTCATCTAACCATGGTCATTTCAGACAACCGTGATTGTTGTGCTCCTTTAGCAGCAACAAGACTGAGACCTCTGAGCACAGGGAGCAGCACTATTTGTCATGTTCCAGCTTGCTCGTTTCATTGTTGTACTTCGGATTTTAAAAACACAGAAACACTGAACTCTGACATCAGAAGAACCCGGGAGCGCACCAGAAGTGCTAGTGTGAAAGCGCTCTGAGAAAAAAAGTCAGAATTATGAGATATAAAGTCACAATTTGCTTTTTTATTTTATATTCCGTAACTGAAACAAAATGTTTTCCTTTTCTGCAAATCCGTTTGACCACTGCGATTAGGGTTAGGAACAGCTGAACACGTGACGTGAGTGCTGAATGTTACTGAAATGACTCTCAGCTCAGTATACGGTCATTTCCACGCTCAGACTAGGAGTTATCAGTAATGTTTAACTCTTTAAAGGTTCTAACGACTCCTCCTGACTCATCTAAGCATCGATCAGTATGTCACATTAAAACAGTGAGTTTATCCAGACAGAGTGAATCTCCTGATGAATCAATCAGAAGCCAAAGCATAAGAGCTGATGTTCTGCATTGTGACGTTGTTTGTGCGCAGCCCGACGGTCAACACGACGCTGAGGAATCTGGGCGCTCTGTACCGCAGACAGGGCAAGCTGGAGGCAGCGGAGACGCTGGAGGAGTGCGCCGTTTGAGAGTGGGAGTGAGTGTGTGTGTGTGTGTGTGAGTGTGAGAGTGTGTGTGAGAGAGAGTGAGAGTGTGAGTGAGAGTGTGTGTGAGAGAGAGTGAGAGTGAGAGTGTGAGTGTGAGTGAGAGAGTGAGAATGTGAGTGTGAGTGTGATGTGTGTGTGTGTGTGAGTGTGTGTGTGTGTGTGCGTGTACGAGTGTGTGTGTGTGTGTGTACTAGGGGTTGCACCCACTAATCGACTAGACTTCAATGCTCTGCCATGACGCTAGTGAGTGCGAGTGTGTGTGTGTGAGTGTGTGTGTGCGTGTGTGTGTGTGTGCGTGTGTGTGTGTGAGTGTGAGTGTGAAGGACTGTGTTTCACATGCTTTCTCTCTCCTCTTTCCTTCCTGCTCCTCTGTGGATCCTAGAGCAACTCCGTGAGTCATTCTGAAGATGTTCATTAGTGCTGACGCTCGTGTAATAGAGCGCACGGCTCATCAATCCCAGCATGCCCTGCTGCGTGTGTTCTAGTGTTCATTCTGGCAGCTGTTTTGTCCTTTCTAGTTCCTATCATATTTAGTCACCTGTCCGGTTTTAGTTGACAAAAAGTCTGAGAATTTAAACTTTAGTCAGGCTGTATAATGTTTGAAATGATAATCACAATCAAATAAGATAATCATAATCAAAAGTTATAATCGTGATTGCTAATCAGAATTATAGCTGTTTCGCCTGCAAGCACAAATCAAGAGAAAGTCGACACACACATGCTAGTTTCTAGTTTCCTGATTTATTATGTTATCAGAAATACAAACACACTCTCTACATTATGAAAACTGGCGAAAAGGGACATTCCTAATAATAATTCCAGTAATTCCACATTACATTCATGTCTTTCTATTAAAATGACAACCAAAAGGCTTTGTATTGTGGCACAGAGGTTCAGATCATCAGGTGCCAGGTTGGGCAGATAAATTCAACACAGGAGCTCTGATTGGGGGATTTAAGCTCATCTGGCAACCCAAGCATGACAACTCATGGAGGTCTAGATTTGATCTTATTTCATCTTTTAAAGAGTTTTTATTTTTTAACCTACATTTCTCATCATCAGTACTGCATGTTGATGGAGTCACCGTGTCACTGTCTCGCCCTCAGTCATGGAAATAAAGCGTGTTTTTGGTTAACGAGGTGAGCTGTAGTGTGCTGTGGATCTGTGTTGGTCAGGGTCTGGATCCGGTCCATCAGACGCGTGTGGTGGAGCTCCTGAAGGAGGACGGCCGGCGCAGCAGAGACAGTGTGTCCAGCGTGAAGTACGAGAGCGGCTCTGAGGCCGGCGATGAAGTGAGTATGGCTGTAGAGTGGAGCGGGGTGAGTACACATCCACACAGCCACAAAAACACCAAGAGCTGATTGTGTGTCCTGGCATGATTGTGCTGATTTAACATGCTTGTGTGTGTGTGTGTGTGTGTGTGTGAGCATCTCTGAACACACACACTCCTCCTGCAGCGCCGCACAGGTCCAGGTCTCACCCCAAAATCAAGAAATTATATTTAGCATAAAATTAAGTCTATTTTTATTACCTCTATTTATATTTATTTTATTACATTCTTAAACATTTTTAATATATTATAATTTTTTTTTAAATTTATAGATTATTTTTTATATTTGTATATTTGGGTTGACTTGAGAAAGCCAACCTACTGATCTGCTACTTAAGCTTATTATTATTATTATTATTATTATTATTAGATTAAATTTCTGAACGCAACATGCTAGAAGCATGCTAATCATGCTAGCAACATGCTAGTAGCATATTAATCATGGTAGCAACATGCTAGTAACATGCTAATCATGCTAGAAACATGCTAGTAACATGCTAATCATGATAGCAACATGCTAGTTACTTGCTAATCATGCTAGCAAATGCTAGTAACATGCTAATCATGCTAGAAATATGCTAGTGACATGCTAGTAACTTGCTAATCATATGCTAGCAAAATGCTAGTTACTTGCTAATCATGCTAGCAATATGCTAGTAACATGTTAATCATGCTAGAAACATGTTGGTGACATGCTAGTAACTTGCTAATCATGCTAGCAACATGCTAGTTACCTTTGCTAATCATGTTATCAACATGCTAGTAAAATGCTAATCATGCTAGAAACATGCTAGTCACTTGCTAGCAACATGCTAGTAACATGCTACTCATGCTAGAAACAGGCTAGTCACTTGCTAATCATGCTAGTAACATGCTAATCATGCCAGCAATATGCTACCAACAGGCTAATCATGCTAAAACATGCTAATCATGCTAGAAACATGTTATCAACATCTATCTATTCTATCTACATTTTCAAACTTTAGGCTTTTTCTACTGCTTTAAACTTTCAGGCTAGGGTTTCTCAAGCCAACCTAAAGTCTTGACAAACTTTTTTATCTAGTTTTATTTTATTGTCATTCTCACTACTGTAAAAATGTTTTTGTAATTCTCTTTCTTGATGATTCTCATTAGATTCTCATTACTATAATGCAGTGATTTTTTAAATTGAGTCAGCATGAATTGAAGGCAGTTCAGCACATGCTGCCACATAAATGCTTTACAGTCATTATTTTTCATAATTATTTAATGATAATCACTGTGCCTCATATTTCTCATAGTTCTCATATTCTTGTGATTCTGGGCTGAACTATGACTATAGTTAACTAAAACAAAAACTGAAAATAAAATGAAATGACGAAGAAACATTCTCGTTATTTGAAACAAAAAACTGACTGAAATAAAATAAAATAAATACAACTTTTTATTACAACTAGTAGCCAAGACAACGTTTTCATTTTAATTTACTTTAACTTGATGTACTAAAATAACTAAAACTGACATCAAAATTAATAAAACCTTAAAACACACACAACAAAATTACTATAACTTAAAAAAAAATACAAATAATAAAAATATAAAATTACTAACTAAAACTAATAAATAATAACTACTAATGAATCCAATCTGTAAGAGTATCTCATGTCCACTGGTCCAGTGTCGCTGATGGTCTGCTGTGTTCAGGATGTTCAGTGTGATGTCATATCCTGCATCTGAAGCTTCCAGCGTCTCGTTCATGTGTGCGATCATTAACACCAGCACGTGCAATGGAAATAATCATCATCATAACACATCTCACGCTTTACAAAGAGTCTTAAAGGAATATTTCACCCAAAAACAAATGCAGACTCGCCTTGACTGGCTTTCAGTGATTGTGTGTTTAATACAAGTTAAAACGTGTGAAAGAATCTGTCAGTGCAGTGACAGAAACACACAAAACTAGTCAGTGCTGCTTCTCTCGTTTGAAGGATCATTAGGTAAAAGCTCACTAAAGCAGTCGTTCTTGGCAGTGTGTAGTAGCATGTGTGTGTGCATGTGTTTCTGTGTGCTGGTGTGTGCTGGTGTATGGTAGTGTGTGTGTGTGTGTGTGCATGTGTTTCTGTGTGCTGGTGTATGGTGGTGTATGGTAGTGTGTGTGTGTGTGTGCATGTGTTTCTGTGTGCTGGTGTATGGTGGTGTATGGTAGTGTGTGTGTGTGTGTGTGCATGTGTTTCTGTGTGCTGGTGTATGGTGGTGTATGGTAGTGTGTGTGTGTGTGTGTGCATGTGTTTCTGTGTGCTGGTGTATGGTGGTGTATGGTAGTGTGTGTGTGTGTGTGTGCATGTGTTTCTGTGTGCTGGTGTATGGTGGTGTATGGTAGTGTGTGTGTGTGTGTGTGCATGTGTTTCTGTGTGCTGGTGTATGGTGGTGTATGGTAGTGTGTGTGTGTGTGTGCATGTGTTTCTGTGTGCTGGTGTGTGCTGGTGTATGGTAGTGTGTGTGTGTGTGTGTGCATGTGTTGTGTGTGTGTGTGTGTGTGTGTGTGTCTGCTGCAGACGCTTGTGGCGCGTGTCTTTGCCTGTGCATGCAGTCTGCGCGTCGTGTCGTAGCGCCTGCATGAGTCTGTGCCTCACCATCACTACCTGCCACTAACCAGCCACATCACTGCAGCTGTTGCCTTGACTACAATCAGCCAATCAGCAGCCTTTCCCAACAGTGTTGCGAGTCTGAGTAGATGAAGTAACCGCTTTCACCGAAGGCCTCTGCGATCTACTTACGATGCTTTTGGGAAACGCAGCTGGGATCAGTTTTTCCTGACGCAGTGGATTGTACTCTTCCCTTCATCACTAAGAGACACACTGGAGCGCTGGATGAGCAGCATCTGTTAGATCAGAGACAGAGAGGAGCTCGACATCCAGTCTAATGAGCATCAGGCATATTTATAAATATACAACACATGCAGTTGCACAACTAGTCAGTAGTCAAGTCTCTTCTGCTCAGCAAGGCTGCATTTATTTGATCAGAAATAAAGTAAAAAATTTAAAATATTATTACAATTTAAAATATCAGATTTCTATGTGAATATCTGTTAAACTGTAATGTATTTCTGTGATGCGCAGCTGTATTTTCAGCATCATTACTCCAGTCTTCAGTGTCACATGATCTTCAGAAATCATAATAATATGCTGATTTGCTGCTCAAGAAACATTTCTGATTATTATCAATGCTGAAAACAGTTGTGCTGCACAATATTTTTGTGGAAACTGTGATGCATTTTATTTTTCAGGATTCACAGATGAACAGAAAGTTCAAAAGAACAGCATTTATTTGAAATAGAAATCTACTGTAACATTATAAATGTCTTTACTGTCACTTTTGATCAATTTAATGTGTCCTTGACGAATGAAATTATCAAGTATTGTTCTAAAAAAAATCTTACTAACTTTTTAATGGTAGTGTATCACAGTTTCCACACAAATATTGTGCAACACAACTGTTCTCAACATTGATAATAATCAGAAATGTTTGTTGAGCAGCAAATCAGCATATTAGAATGATTTCTGAAGATCATGTGACACTGAAGACTGGAGTAATGATGCTGAAAATACAGCTGCGCATCACAGAAATACATTACATTTTAACAGAGATTCACATAGAAAGCAGTTGTTTTAATATTTAACATCTTTTACTGTATTTTTGATCAAATAAATGCCTTGGTGAGCAGAAGAGACTTCTTTCAAAAATAAAATAAAATCTGAAAATCTTAATTGCAAACTTTTGACACACATCATTATATGATATTGATATATTATGATATATATTATATATTGATATATTAGACCCGAAACAGGCAGGGATTTGTGATCTCACCCCTGCAAACGCACACGCTGATATTACACTGTTCATATAGAGGATAAATCACTGCGCTTGAAATGAAGTCCAGCCCAGCGTTTGTTTCCTGTTCTACGTCCTGTGTCATGACCTCAGTGACAGACAGGAGCTGCTGCTCTCTCTGTTTTCACTTTTCTCTTTGTGCCTTATTAGCATGACAAAAGCCTTGTTAAACATTTCACTTTATAAAGCAACAATTAATGAATTTAATAAGTAAATTATGTATAAATAATATATAAATAATTTAAAAATATTTTTCCTTTTCTGTTTATCAGCGTTTGACCTATTAACTAAATATAGTAGACGTGTGTTTGCAGGGGTGTGAGAGCAACAGACAGAGAGACAGACAGACAAACAGAGAGACAGACAGAGATATGGACAGACAGACCGAGAGACGGACAGATAGACAAAGAGATGGACAGACAGACAGAGAGATGGACAGATAGACAAAGAGACGGACGGACAGAGAGACAGACAGATTGACAGAGAGACGGACAGACAGACAGAGAGACGGACAGACAGACAGAGAGATGGAAAGACAGACAAAGAGATGGACAGACAGAGAGATGGACAGATAGACAGAGACGGACAGACAGACAGAGAGACAAAGAGACGGACAGACAGACAGCGAGATGGACAGATAGACAAAGAGACGGACAGAGAGATGGACAGACAGAGAGACAGACAGATAAACAGAGAGACAGACAAACAGAGAGACCGACAGAGAGACAAAGAAACGAACAGACAGACAGAGAGACGGACAGACAGACAGAGAGATGGACAGATAGACAAAGAGATGGACAGACAGAGAGACGGACAGACAGAGAGATGGACAGATAGACAAAGAGTCGGACAGACAGACAGAGAGACAGACAGATAGACAGAGACGGACAGATAGACAAAGAGACGAACAGACAGACAGAGAGACGGACAGACAGACAGAGAGATGGACAGATAGACAAAGAGATGGACAGACAGAGAGGCGGACAGACAGAGAGACGGACAGATACACAAAGAGACGGACAGACAGACAGACAGAGAGACAGACAGATAGACAGAGACGGACAGATAGACAAAGAGACGAACAGACAGAAAGAGAGACGGACAGACAGACAGAGA